CATATTGTTCATGTTTTAGGTTCAGGATTTCCATGACAAATTCCAAGCCGGGACTGTAATTAATATCACGTGTATGACCCAAACACTCCGCATTTCTCTCTACCTTTCTCCCCCCCAGCTTGAAGTTTATTACAGCATTCATCAGCTCAAGAAGTTGCTTTCCACAAATGCACATTACTTCTGTGTCACCATAATTGATGTGTGTACATAAATCTGGTTGCAGCTAGTTTGACTCTAAAAGCTTGGATGTGATTCAGTGGAGCGTTATTTCCTCTGTACTGGACAGGTACAAAAAGCTGCATTAGGATGAAAGGGCAGGAAACAAGCTGCTTTCCACCTTTGAAGTACATTTGATGCTTTTAACCTTTAAGACTGACCAGGACATTCTGAAAGAAAACCCAGTCATTACAGTTTTATATTTGTGCCCTTTTTTGATGCTATTGAGACCTTGCAGAGTGGAGACTGGAAAGAAAGTTATGTTCTGTCTGAGATCTTTGAGGAAGTAAACTGCCACATTCAATGGCAGAATTTCTGTAACACAGAGTCTGGCATTGAAATAGCTCTTTATGGAATGAAAAATGTATCATTAAAGTTGGTTGATGCACTGGTTTTATATTTGTGTGCACTGAGATTTGTTTAGGCTTGTGCGTGAGTGTGACCATGTGCGTGAGTGTGCATGTCTGTGTGTATGTGTATACCTGTTTATCTGTGGGTGCGTACGTGTGTGTGTGTGTGTGTGCGTGTGTATGTTTGCATGTATGTGTGAGCAAAGTGGTATGTTCATAAATTCATGATTTGTCATGAATTTATGAACATGTGTGAGCAAAGTGGTATGTTCATAAATTCATGATCATACATTAAGCAGTGACAGATGGCACAGGGACTGTTGTACCTGACAGCTCCCTGTTCTGGGGGATTGTGCAATCACAGATGATTCACCTATGAGGAATGGATATATTGCACAGTCCATCTTACCTTGGATTAAAGAGGTCCCTGTGTTCCAGCAGCTGTACCCCTGAGCCGTGTCCTTGTCTCTCCTCTCCCACTTCTGAGTGGAATCAGTAGCACGGCATCTCCAAGGAAAAGCAGAGAGACTTTCCACGACTCCTGTGTTACACTTTCCCTACCTGAGGGAGCCCTGATTCCTGCTCTCTCTCAGACTGAAGAGGAAAAAACAGAGAGGCCCAACCTTGCTGTCAGCTCTTGATTAACGAAATTGGGGATGAGCTTCAGTGCTTCTTCACAAGCACAGTTTACCTTAATTTAGAGATAAAATACTGTAAATAAATAAAATCCCAAAATAATTCTGAATAGAGATTGCGGTGACCATAGTTAGGAGTCATTACCAGAGGGGAGAGACATGGAGGGAGAGGGGGGAGATGCAGTCCCACAACAAAACCCTGGTTGCATAACCTCGGCTGCTTTTTTGTCACACACATTGATTTTTATATTGATATCCTTAGTGATCACGTGAACTTGCTAGTAAGCTCATTAGCACCAAGGTATACAACACCTATTTTGGTTATATTACCAATTTTACTTAAACAAAACTGTTCAAACTCTGTTATACCTGGGAAAGCTAATTAAATACATGGAGTACGAACAAACTGCTAGTAATTCTTATTGGCTTGCTTGCTAGCTATGAGAGAGGCAAATTTCTCTTTTTTCCCTGATCTCAGGACAATATACCTCACAGCAGCAAGACTGACAGCAAGCTCATGTGCCAAAGCAAGAAAGTAGTGGTTATATACCAGGCTAATTACTAGCAACTTTGCAGTCCAGCTGCAGACATTGTGTTGACAAGTGTCCCAGTATTTTATCCTCTTGCTGAAGTTTCTGTGAGTAAACCGCCTTTCAAGACTTCACTGGGTCCTTGCTAGAAAACCTCATTACGTGCTACATACCAAGCCACATTACTCCATTTGAAGAGCTAGGCAATCAAAGGAAATTCGCAGTTTCTTTAACATTTTGGATGAAGTTAGCTATTTAAATCAGATTAGCTAATCAACCCATACCAGCAGACTGGTAAATTACCTAGCAAAGTATTTAGCATAAAATCAAATAAAATCAAACCAGAGCTTAACACAGAAGAACCACAGCAAACAGCCTCCCTCAGCCAGCATATTGCCATTCTCTCAATACAGATTAATGCAGGGTTCCAAAATATCCGCCTGCCCTTAAAAACATGGGGGGTGGGAAGCACGGTTCCAGATATTCCCCTGCAGGGAGAAATTCTGAAGGGAGCACAGACAGGTGAGCTCATCACAGCGTGTTTACAATCCCGGTTCTATCGCTCCAGTTGGAAGGAAAATGAAGCCCACATTAAAATAAATTGCCAAAAAAATTGGTTTTAGAAGCATGAATTAGGCCGCACAATAACAGTGCCAAACAAGCCTTTGACGGAAAAAAAAAGATGTGTAACAGTAAAGGCTGAAAGACTAAGCTGTAATTTACTCTGAAGGTCCCATCTGAAGTGTCTAGCAGGAATTCACATCAATAAATGTGTCTGAATGCATCAGAAGAGTCTGCCCCATTTGTTCTGTGGTTTGTTTGCAGGAGTGGTGGAGAGTTCATTCTAAAAGATCCATGGGGGGGGGATTTGCAGGGAGTTCTCCATTTATTTCTTCTCAAAGTAAAACTGGCTTCGTTAATTGCTGAAATGTAGCTGCTGTAATTGCAATATGTCTTCCCCTCTTCTTTTGTCTGAAAGAAATCCCAGTATGGAGTTCCAGTGTAATTTCAGCAAATTTTGGTGTTTATTTCTCTGCTAAACAGACGTATTTCCAGATATAATGAAAAAAGTTGTTTTCATGTAACTATAACAAACTATTTATATTGCACAGTCTTTACTTATTTACTTGACTTGGTCATATGGCTCTGATGTCAATCAATCAATTTGTATTGTTTGGTACTGTCACAAAGTGCTGGAGAAAAACAAGCTTTGACACTAAAATATTGATTTATTTTTTCTGCTTTTTCCCTGCCATATGCAACCCATTTTTGTAATCATCAATTGTGCATTAGGCTGACCACACCACAACAATCTGTGCACTCATGCAGGAGTGAGACAAATGCAATCTGCCAATACATGTGCATGTAGTCAACAGCTATTTTTCACACTACAAATCCCACAGTGCATTACAATGAAGTACACACAGATTGGAGGATAAGCACAACTCCACTGACATCAGCTGAACAACTCATTTTCACCTGGTGAGTATGTTCAACCATCGTGGACTCCCAGTCACTGGCAGCTGATGACACATTTGAACCTGAGCCTTAGGGCTCAGGCAGTAGTCAAGATGAGTGCCTTGCCAACTAAGCGGCTCGAGAGCCCTTGAAATATGGAGTTTTAAAATCTTTTCCCCCTTTATACAATCCTGAGTTGAAACAACCTCTGTACTCATATAGAAAGACTGAGGCAAAACAAATGCAGTCCTCCCATACACTTTCATGTGGCTAACAACAAGTCACATGGCATGCTACAGTGGAGTGGTTGCACATTGGAGGACAGGCGCTACTCCACTGACATCATCTGAGCAACTTGCAGGAGCCTGATGAATTGCAGGGGACAAGCAACTCCTGCCCACCCCTGCCCCTATCCCTGGTGGAACAAAGTTTTTTTTTTGCACCAGCGTAGACTCATCATCATCATCAGATCGAACCCGGGCTGTAGGACTCAGCACGTGCAAAAGGCCTTAACCAAGGAGGTACTTGGGACCCCCTTGAAATAAACATTTAACTCAATTCTTTTCATGTGTGTAGTGGATTTATGTCCACTAGCCTCTTGTGGAAAGATTTTTCATGAGCCACTGATGCTGCCCATACTGAACCTGACAGTATGGGCAGCACCATAAAAGGCCAGCACCATAAAAAGGCTTAGTGAAAAGGCGAGAAGGCAACCTTTAAACATGACTTTGGTGCTGTTGGCTCCCACTTCTGTCTGCTGCGCTTGGCTGTTCTCAGACATTTAAATGATGTCTGAACTGTTTCCCCCTCTTAGGGGAAAACATGTGCAGGCATGCATACATACATACCTGCATACACGGAAATACATGCATGCATCAAAAAATGCACGCACACATGGCAGCAACAACAACAACAACAACAGAAACAAACTCTGCATGCCAGTTGTATGTAAGCACGAACGGTAGCCTGATTACTGCAGTCATGCCTCATTTCCCCCAGCCACCTCACCAGACAGGTCAGCTGTCCTTCAGTGGCATTGTAGTGATGCGTACTCTTAATCACTTCTCTTTGTGATTACGGTCTGTGCTGCCATTAACATGTCAGAGGTAAGATGCTGCTGGCAAAAAAAAAAAAATTGAAATATTACATTTTCCAATGCAATCTTAGGCTGAAGATGTTTCTGTTTTTTTGTTCTATTCAAGCTCTTAATGGTTGAATTTAATGATACACCCGTGACTGAACTCAGATGATTCATAGTCTGAAATGCTATGATTCAATGTTGAAATGCTTAAGCATTGGCTGTCACACTCCTACTGTACAAGCAGCTGGCCTCTCCACTCGAAAGGCTATATCACTGCACCTTTAACACTGAAAAATATATTTACATCAGCAAACCACGCAATAAATTATGTCCCCCATGCCTTGCTTTGGATGCGCAGCATATTAATGTGTGGAGGGACATGAGTATAAATGCCAAACAGAGCACGCTCCTGGGGCCTGAGGCTTGACTTAATGCTCCATCCCACAGAGAGCAGGGCTTGAATCACATTTGGCATCTGCATGTGATGGATCACCATGATTTGTGCCCTTTTGTCTTTATACCTGGGCCTTCAGACTTTTTCTCACATTCAACAGATCTCCTTATTACAGATCACCATCGTTTCCCTATGAATTTACAGAAGTTAAAGCCTTTTCTGTGAATTGTCTGCGCAGCGGGAACAAAGGTGAGGGAAGTAAGTCAAGCTTTTAACATGAAATCACATTATTATTTTGGGGAGCAAAGAGAAACTGTGAAGTAGAGCTGAACGGTCGGCAGTGTAGCTTAGTGGTTAAAAAGCAAGCCTTGTAACCAAAAGGTTGCCGGTTCGATTCCTGGCTGGGGCACTGCTGCTGTATCCTTGGGCAAGGTACTTAACCACACCCATATTTATACAGCTGGATATTTACTAGGCAAGGTACTTGCCTCAGTAAATATCTGGGTAAATGGATAACATTGTAACCAATGTAAGTTGCTCTGGATAAATAGCAAAAATGTAATGAAGAACCTTGGAGGTAGCGCTTCAGGCCAGTTTTAACTCGACCTTCTCTCAGGATGTCTGAGAGAACATGAACAAGAGAACCCAGACCAGACCACTGAAATGCACTGAAAGGAAAGCACGGGGGGATAAACAAAACCATGCAGGACAATGCAATGCTGAAAAAAACTGGCAATAGAAAAGCAGACGGCTGAAAGATGCAAAACTCAAAGGGGTTGCTTGACCAGACAAAATGCTGACAGAAGTGAAAAATACAGGCGGCTGTCTTTAAAAAAAGCCAGTGAAAAATAAAACTCAGTCCTTCCTGTCCAGGGATGAAAACAGCAGACATTTGTCAGGAAAGTATAAGAAAACAGAGATGACTTCCAGATGAATGCATAATACTGCCTACAAATTCCGCAATCACAATGACTTTTTGGTAAGACCGCACATAAAATTGTAGATACACCTGTGCAATTACATGGTAACGACATCACTAACAAAAGACTGTTGTTTCTTCATTTTAACTGTTGTGGAATTCAGCTTAATGATTTGATTAATTAAATATTGTTATATGGTTCTAATTGTGTAAATACATGAATGAAACATAACAATGTTTCATTATATGTTAGCCAATTAACCAAGGAATTATTGGTTACAGCATATAATACTAATTAGGATATTATTAATAATGAGTATTTTTGCTACACTGCATTTTTCCATCTCCGGCGGTGTTGCTAGTAATATTGAGCTTGTGTTACTGTGTATTTTTGCTGTTTGGTATCTCTCTCCTGTGTGGTTGATTGATTACTGGTGTTAATTCCTTTTCCTTGTTGAACTCAACCATTGGAGAGGACTTATCTGTAGTAGCAGTTGGTCTTGCAGCTACAATCGTTCTAGATTTTTGCAACACAAGGATACAATGTACTGGAAACCATGAAATGTCCTCCTTTTAAAAATAATATCCACAGGGAAGATGTCCCTGGACCCTGTAACATTTGACAGTATGGATCATGAATTTTCTTCAGCTCATAGTTAACTACTTGCTGACATGCTACTTCTAGTCTGTTGAGCATCTACAGGGGGACAATGAAAATAAAGTGTTACCACTACTTTTATTATTTTTACCTGCCACAAGATATCCACAGGAAAAAAATCCATTTGACTGTTGTTCTGCTTCTGATATTAAGAGGCTTTTGATCCTTACCATGGTTTTTTAAATTTTCCAATAAAAAAGTTGTTGGTGTTGTTTTCCCCTTACTCTGAGTTTGGTTTCCTCTGTATGTCACATTGCTGCCCATACAGTCAACCTGACACCAGCTTCAGCTTACAGTCACATTATGATCAGCTGTGTAGCTTGCTTGCACGACACTGTTATTGGGTTCTTCGTGCCTGTGAAGTAACTGAAGAAGTGGTGAAGTAAGTAGAAATGTTTACATGCCCTATGTTTTTCCCTATTAACATCATATTGCTTAGCTAAGCTTAATTGCTGGTGTGCACTTCTGTTTCTTCAAAAACAGTTCTGGCTCAAAAACTGATTCAGTCCTGCTTCTGGCAAGAAAATGGCAACATAGGCAAAAATACAGGAAAAAATAAACAAGTCTCTGGGCTTCACAACACTGTAATGAGCCTCAACTTTATTTCTCAATTTCTGTGTTTCTTCTACAATGTTCTTGGTTAATTTTTGCAACTGTCAGAAGCCAAATAACAAAAATTAAATGTTTTACTCCAAGTTAAAGAAGCCTAAAATTCTGTATTCACTATTATGCAAACTATGTATTTTGTATAAGATAACTTGGATCCATAACTGCGCATGAGCAGGTGAAAAATGGAATAGTTAGAAAACCTAATCAGCTTTATGCCTAATGAGTCATAACTATGACAGGACACTAATTTGGTAGCTAATTACTCAAACTGCATGTCTGTGTTTGAGCATGTATTTTTAATAGTGTTAATTGTAAATGAAATGAGTCATGATTAAACCAGAAAATCCAATTAAAATGCAGGAATATGCACCATTAATTACAGGTGATAGAAAATTAGCACCAAAGAAGCATTTTCATTCCTCTGCCTTCATCACATGTTTCAGTGATGCTTCAATTCAGCAGCTGTGTGTTGCACATGGCAGATATATTCCTATAAAACTCCATGATACCAGTCTCAAACAGGAACAGTTAGTGGCCTGAAGGTGGTCTCCTATGCAAATAAAACATATTTAATTGGTAGCTTGGGTATCTTCAAGCACATGCACTGCTGGGATAATGTGCCTTTATTTTGCCAAACTAAAATTGCTGTAAAACAGATGAATCAGGATTTCCAAAAAAACTGACAACACAGGTAGGTTGGGGCACTGATTTTTTTTCTCAAGGTGGAAAAAGACCTCCTTTTCAAGTGAGGAAACAGTCCCTATTTCATTTGTATACAAATCAGGCAACATGCTCACATCTGTGTTCACTGTGAGACATCACACCTCCCCCCAGTCAGAGATGCATGGTCTTCAGTTCCACCAGACAGAGCACTTCTCTTGGTCCATTCCTCACCGTCATGGCCTGATCTGGAAAAAAAAAAATTAGATCCCAAGACTCCCCATCACATCTGTATAATACCACTATATAATACTAACCAAAATCTCCCAACAGTAAACTAACAAGTGTGTAATCAATGAGATTCACCGAATATGATTTCTCTTTAGTTATATTAGAGCTAGCAGCTCTCAAAGCACCAACTGGGCTGAAAGCTATCCTTATCTAACTTCAATCAGAAATTTTTGTTCAGTTTCAGTGCTTTTTATGTTCTAGTTTCAGTTTCATTTAGCTAGCAAAAAGTTGACGTTAGCACCATTCACAAATCATCATAATTTTTGTCAGATAAATATGGCTGAATTTGTTGATCATAGACACATTAATTCTCATACAGTGAAGGGGAATGTGATTGTATATTATCCTAAGCATTGTAACTCAACTTGTCACACAACTGGAATCACTCTTGCCACTCTGGCCACTGTGACGGCCAGTATAATAATCTTGGAACGGATTTAAGAAAGAGAAATATAAAAATTCATGGGGCTGTGTTTATACATGATAAGCTGAACTGTCACGAACAGGGAATACATTTAGGATAGTCATGGACAAAGAACACAAACATGCTGTGCACTGGTCCCAGACCAGCTGCAATCCAGCTCAAAGCAGGCTGTTTGCAGCAGCTTTATATGTGAACTGGATCAGTACACTTACACAATACACAAACAAAATACAAACAAATGGGAAGGCAACAAGGGTGTGACCGTGATTTGCACAGCTTTTTGTTTCCTGTCAATTCTCATTTTCCCTCATGTCCCCATTTTTAATATTCAGCATTTACACAGACCTCTGAAATGTGTTTCTTTCTCTTTCCTGGTTGCCTCTCCTCAGATGTCCTTGCCCATGTTGTCAGAATGACTATGAGGCCATTGGAGAGAGAGAGGGGGAAGACTAGCCAACAGCATCACAGAGATAAAAACTTTAAATATAAAAACTCAAAGTTTTATTGAAGTTTTACTCTGGACATTGATTGTAGGAATTTCATTATTGATGATAATTTCAGTTTTAATTACTTTTCTAAGTCTCATTTACATTACACAGCCAATCTAGAACAGGTATCTATTTATGGGATGGCCGTTATATTACATAAGGTCAAGGGTTAGCAGATGGAGACTAACCGGTGCTTCAAGATTATAAAGATAGTACAGGATGGCCACAAAGTCAGTGATTTTAATATTAAGCATAAGTCTGCACTAGTCCCCATGTACTATGAGGAAAGATTCCTAATTAAATGAAATATTAATGAATATATTGGATAAATCATTTCTAATGAATAAATTAAATCTGAAATAAATGAATACATACTAGAATTTAATTGATTGTTTTTAATCATTTCTGTTTTATTTCGGTAATTTGTTTTTAGGTGAATTAGTCATTTATTCTCTGTATTTTTGTGGTAATATTCATTAATTTCCACTTTAGCTTCTGTCAATCAAACCTCCATAGGTGTTGCAAGACACAGACACAAATTGGCAAATCAGTGCTTGAGAGCAAAAATTGATGGAATTTGATTAAATATTTATCTAAGCAGAACCCAGTCATCTTGCATGAATGTGGCAGATATACTGTATGACCTCTCTATAACCTCAAAAAATTTGTCTTTCAAGTGTGGTGACCTCATAGGTTCTTTCTATCAGTCTGATGGACAGGCTGTGTCTCTTGTCTGCATGAAGTCCTATTGAGGGGTCATATATCAACTCTTTCTGACACATCTGTGGAGTTAACAGAGAAATAAAATGACCAGCACCAGGCACTAAGACCCTGTCTATCAACTCCAGACATTTCAACAAGTGCTGAATCACTGCATGCAATCCTTTTTTTTCGATAATTCTAATATACTGAAAAAAAGATCATTGGCACTGACAGAAGAAAATTAGGCCATGCTTGCCTTCAAAGTCTGAATGATATTTTGTTTAGTAAATCTGATTTGTAATCAGTCCCCAGCTTGAGTGCACTGTAGCTTGAGAACTGTGGTACTGCCCTACCTATGGTGGCTGGCAGGATATCCAATCAAAAGTCAGTGTAAAGTTTGACTAACTTTGATTGTGAAACTGTTATCTTAGAAAAACACAAGTTCTGTCTTTTCAGCTGCTATGCAAATTACAGCGGAGATCCGTGCAGACTTCAAAGGAAGTGACTCTCATTGTGATAGACAATAGCGTGTGTTTGTGCTGGATCTGGAAACTAAAACCGTTGTGACTCCAACTCTGCACCTGTGCCAAGACTTATTTCAGACACTCTACAGGAGCTGACGGGTGTCTGCGTTTCCAGCGGGTGTGTCACAACGCTG